TTGAAGAATAGGGGACGCAAAGCTAGTACCTTCAGGTACCTCAAAGGATGAGGAAAAGCAAAAGTAAAGTTTGTCCATATCAAAGTAAATGTGGATGTCCTTATCTCTGGGAAACCTGTTTTTCCCAGTTTTCACAGAACGGCTGAGGTCATCTTGTCCAACTCCCCTGCTGAAGTGGAGCCACTTAGAGCCAGGTGCCCAGGACCATGTTCCAGACAGCTTCAGAGTTATCTCCAAGGATGGAGACTCAACAACCTTTCTGGGCAACCTGTGGCAGTACTCAGTCACCCTCACTGTAAAAAGTGTTTCCTGATGTTCAGACAGAACGTCCCATGCTTCAATTTGTACACATTGCACATTGCCTCTGGTCCTGTCACTGGGTACCACTGAAATGAGCCTGGTTCCCTCTTGTCTTCTTTATACCCTCCCTTCAGATATTTGTACACATTGACAAGATCCTCCTGAGCCCTGTCTTTCCCAGGCTGAACAGTCACAGCTCTCTCAGCCTCTCCTCAGAGAAGAGATGCTCTAGTTCCTCTATCATCTTTGTGGTCCCTTTGCTGGACTCTTTTGAGTAACTCCATACCTCTCTCGTTCTGAGGAGCCCAGAACTGGACACACTAGTCCAGGTGTGGCCTCACCAGTGCTGAGCAGAGGGTAAGGATCACCTCCACTCACTTACTGGCAACACTCCTCCCATTGCAGCCCAAGATACCATTAGCCTTCTTTGTTGAGAGGGTACATTGCTGGCTTGTGGTCAACTTGGTGTCCACCAGGACCCCAGGCCTTTTTCTGCTGAGCTGCTTTCCAACTGGGTGGTGCTCAGCATGGATTGGTGCAGGGGTTTGTTCCTCCCCAGGTGCGAGGAACTTCACACTTTCCTCTGTTGAATTTTGTGAGGTTCCTGTCAGCCCACTTTTCCAGCCTGTCAAGGTCCCTCTGGATGCCATCACAGCCACTCCTCAGTTTGGTGTTATCAGCAAACCTACTGAGGGCACACTCTGCCCCATCACCCAGATCAGTAATGAAGATGTTAAAGAGGACTGGACCCAGTATTGATCCCTGGGGTGCACCGCTAGTTACTGCCCTCCAACTAGACTTAGTGCCACTGATCACCACTCTCTGGGCCCAACCATTAAGCCAGTTTTCAGTCTACCTCACTGTCTGCTTATCCAGCCTACACAACCACAGTTTGTCTATGATGGTTAGCTTGTCTATAGGGTTAGGGCTGAGCGAAAGAGAGCACCTAGTGGGTTCACTGAAGTGGCACTGGAATTGGGCAGCCAAAAGAGAGCTGGAGCAAAGAGATCAGTGCTGAGGAGTAGTTTCTGGTGTTGGGCCAGAGGTGGGGGACTTAGTTCAAATCTGAGCCAGAAATCAGTGTAAACATTTTCCCAGGCATCCAGATCATTAATGAAGATGTTGAAAAGTACTGGACCCAGTACTGATCTCTGGAGTGCATCACTGGTTAATGGCCTCCAACTAGACATCATTCCATCTTGAACGTATGCTTCAAGGTATGGCAGAATATAATCTTATTCAGCAGGGATATACATTCTGCTGTCCCCCTGAAAGAACACTCAAACTAAAGCTGACAAAGCTAGGAGCGATGAAGAAAAAAAACCAAAACACATTTGCAAGGAATTTCTATATCTCTTGAAGCATCCATCTGCATTAGATTATTTTCCTGCTTGCCTCTAAATAGGACCTGTCTTGTACAGCCCTAGACCAGGCTCTTCACTGGGGCTACCTAAGGCAAATTTATAGGAGAAAAGGTCCTACATCTGGGAGCAGAAAAAAGCAAGAAAGGAGCGAGTAAAAAAAAAACAAACCCAAACCACCAAAAAAAAAAAAAAACCCCAACCAAAACCAGGAGGGAAAATAAGCCTTAGAAACCACTGTAAGGAAGTTTGAGAGTGGAAAGAAGACTACAACATAACAGACAAGGCATTAGGACTGACTGGACAAAAAGCTCAACTGATACTCAGAACAGGGCAGAAACACAGATTTGAGAACATATGCAGCTTGTCTAACAATGTATCCACAATAGCTTATTATAGTTCATTCCAAGACAAAGGTGACATTAAAACTACACAGGAACACCAGAATAATCACAGTAGATTAGTACAAAGCAGCTTGTTGAATAAAAATTTTGTAACGTAACTTCCACCGTTGCACAAAACCCTGCTGCTAACCACCTACATCCTTTTTGTGGTTTCCAGGTGTGGCTATCACACCTTCCTCAAAAACTGTAGGAGGCTGGAGTTTTTAGACTGTGCTTACATCCTTTGCAGATTAGAAATCAATTGCTGTATTTTTAAACCGCATTTAAAAAAAAAATCTCAAAGAGATGCTTCATTCAAGAATGAGCACATCTGAGTCAGACTGACTTAAAATGCATGAAGCCAACTTCACAACTGTTTTTATTCAAAGGTCTGAAGGGATGACAGTGTGTAGTAACCAAAGTCCACAAACCAGGGCAATCAACATTCCTAGTATATGCCTTTCAGGTCAACAAGAAAAGAAGAAGAAAGTACCAGATTATTTGGGAACAGAAGGCATAACATGATTCCTTTCTCCAGATGCTGACAGACATATCTGAAGCATTGCATCATTTAATCACCATCATCTGGCTTCCTGAATGTAGCTTCAGCTTCACGTGCATCAGAACAGTAGAAGAAATGCTAACTTCAAAATCCAGCATTATACATTTCTATTTCCTATTTTCACATCCTAAACAAGGATATATTTGAGGCCTGAATACTCTCTCAAAATTATTTGCAGGCGCTCTGTATTTCTCAACCATAAACTTAAATTTTCAATATTCATTTGATGGCTTAATTCCAAACCTACAAGGAAACAAGCTTGCAGATGTTACATTAAAGATACATTGCTTTATTTCCAGTATTCCTCCAACTAACTTACTGATATGCCTTCACTTCTTTCTGTTTTCAAAAAAAGTTTAAATGTTGTGTGAACAATAACACAGAAAATCACATTTAATAATGAAGCAACCACCACAATGAATAGACCATTTTCTGCGCTGAGATGTGGCCCATGCTCAAACAGGAACTATGCTTGTGCATGGTTATAATGCAAAATTAATCTAGTCCATGACTAGAATTTTTACAATTAGTTATATTACCAGAGGACAAACATGGCATTATCGTTCCCCCAAAGTGTCTTTAGTCTCAGTATAAAAAGTACACAGAACAAAGAAGAGAAAGAATACAAGAAACAACAAGACAGTAAGAAATATTTGATACACCAGAGACACCAGCATAGACCTGCAATAAGATCCTACAGTTAACTGATCTTACATCTTACTACAATTCCAAGGAAAAGCCTCATTTCTTGGGACTGCTTCTTTCATACTGGGGCTTATCTAGTGTTACAGCAAGCTGAAGAGATCTAAGCAGCAAAGTTGACATCCATTTAATCATTTTCCTAGAGATATTTCTCTCCACAGGAGGTCAATGGAGAATCAGTAAGTATCCACAGGAAGACTGTCTGCTCAGTAGTCAGAAGTGGAGGGCACAGTTGTACTGAGACAGTCCTAAGCTCAGATAACAACAAACATTATCCTCAGAACATCAGGAAGCTCATCAAAAGCACCTGACTCAATGGGCTACAAAGTCTAATTAGCTAAGATTTATAAATCCAAACATTTAACTTCAGGAGTCTGTTAGAAACACCCTTATGAGGTAGTCCATGGTCATATGATGCAATGGACTTAAATTTTATGCATTTCTTATTGAAGTTCCAGATGCTTACCAATACTCATCCCACATATACATAACCAGAAGAGAGAATATGAAAACACATGGAGATGAAAGAGAGAAAATTATGGTTTCTGTTTGTGCCACAGCCGTTGTTAATCTATTTGCAATCAAGCAAGGGTTGCTGGTTTAGTGGGTGTTTGCTTTGTTGGGAGTGTGGAAGGCAATGGGCTGACAGGGGGAAAGGAAAGAGGTAGGGACTTAAATTTTAAGCAAAGCAATCACAAGAGCAGAAAATTACTTGGTTTTTCCTGTTTATACTCCTCACGAAGACACCCTGAAAATCTGTTGTCAAGATGCATGCTAAGCATTTTGAGAAGAATGCTGAGGTATTTAAGAAAAAGCAGTCAACTGGTTCTAACTTATATTGGAAAATACAGACTACTTATATGCCCAGTAAACATTATCCTCATGTGTGTCTATTTTAGAAAAATAACCCAAGGAGTGTTCTGCAGTAGGTAGTAGCATCAGACATAACTGACACCTCAACTACTGAACATTCAAAATTGTCTCTAACAACATGAAGCTATACGGTCTTCATCCCAGGTTGTTTTTTCATCAAGGAGATTTATGGCTTGCTCCATCCCTCCTACTCTAGTTTCAAAAGAAAATATGTATAGAAAAATGTAATTCTTAAAAAACTGAATGGCAATTTGTGCTCTCTTAGTACATTACTGACCTCTTTTCTATAAAGAAAATGAATTTGCAATCAGGATTTGAACATACCTGGCTCATTATACAACTGAGCTACTAGGATATTCTCCCCACATTATATCAAGACAGCATTGAAAATGTTATAAAAAAAATCTTCAGTTTATCTTCAATACAGCAAGTGAATTTATTTTAAGGATACTACTGCCTTTTAACTGTACTGAATACTCCCACATATTTTCCATAGTTATGATCTTTTTTATTACTTTAAACTAGTGAATCGGAATTGGAACAAAAGAACTTGTAACTCAGTACATTTCCTTTTCAGCTAAGGCATTTTACCTGCTGATATGGCTATCAAGTATTTGCCAAGAACTTAAACACTTTTATAAATCTGCAGAAACAAATAATAAAATTCAGCATTTAAAAGCACCTTTGACAATCAGGAAAATCATGTAAGTAAATGCACAAGTTGCTGGGAAGGGCAGGGATGGGAGGAGCATAGCACACACCAAAAGCATTCTTTCTACATAGAAATAGTCACATACAGGTGGAAAGAAGAAGCATCACCTTGGTCAGCAAATGAGAAGGCTTTCCTGCAATGTTTCTCAGAAGGAGGGAGGTTTCCCTGTCCAAATAGGAGTGCTTGTGCAGAAAGAAAGAGAAAGAACATAAGTCAAAAGAAGTCAGTATAGTAATTTTATAGTGTCTTGATTACAGAAGATAAAGCAGAGTTTAAGGGAAAAAACCCTATATCACCACTTTATTTCCATCCCATAAAAACATGAACATTCCCAAATACTTCAAGCCTAACACACCAGTATAAAAGCAGTTGTGTTAACAGAGGACACTGTTTTAATCTGCCCCTGTACAAAAGGTCACACAATAAAATTGAGAAAAGTTTTGCTTACCTGCTACTGGGTTCTCCTCTGCAAGAGATAACTTATTTTTAAAGACATTTAGAACTATAAAAGTAAGAAAACATGAACTTAAAATGCTTTCAAATTCCTGTCCAAGTCTTCTAAAACTGAACATTTTACTTCTGTTACAGAAACATAAAGCCACTAAAAGCTGGTCATCCTGAAGACAAGGACGCTTTCTATATTGGCTGCTGCTTCCATAGTTAAAGGAAAAAGACATTACCGTAACAATAATCCAAAACTGACTTACAATTAATGTTTTTCATTTTTTTTATTAAAAAGAACTTTTCTCTCTTCTCTTGTACAGTCCAAATTATACAATCCAAGAAGTTAGAAACAAATCACCATATTTAGAAATTAGTAGAAAATATTTTTTAATCTGTTTAAAAAGGGAAAGCAAAACCAGCATAGAAGGACTAAAAGAAGGCAAAAAATCAGTTAATGACAGTTACCAGAGCGGCTATTTTCTCCAGCATCTGCTACAGAGGAACAACAAAACCATCAGCCCACAGGAATTGCAGAACCACATAGTCGCAAGTCTTCTAAGAAAATAAGGTTAACAATGTGGCACTTAAAAAGAACATTAAGTAGATCTCCTGTGTACCACCATTGTACTGCAAATTTTGTCTCATGTAGCTGCATCTGTCTCAACCTTATTTGTGTTGACTGGTCCAATGCTATATAGAAGGCATGACGACTGAGCAGCCTACTTCATTCTTGTTTAATAATGAGCAGCACAGAATCCCTGTCTCTTCTTCAGGGCCACAATAAAGTATAGCCTCCAGAAAAAAATGAAGGGACCACATCTAAAACTTCATGCAAGGCAATATCAAACAGCCTGGTGAACACAGTTCCTGCAGGGAGAGTTTACTTGATGCGACTGCTACATGCTGGGATGAGTAATTAAGGATCTTTAGCAGGCTTTAAAGGTTACAGCTCAGAAAAGACTCTACACAGCATCTGAAGTAAAAAACCCAGGCTCCAGCCCAAGCTCCACCTGGTACTCAGCCACTAATACAAACACAGGTTATGCTACAGGCTGAATGAAGATTTTTCTGCCTGCAAATTAATTACCATCCGTGTCTACATCATATGTTTTAGAAGCACAGCAGTGCTGCCTAGTGACAAATTTTTCACACCTCAAGCACACACTGATGAGAGCACTGTAATCCAGGACCTGGTATAATTAAAAGGTCTCATGCATTGTCTACAACCATACAGAACTCTCAGATTAGACTTCCTGACATGCATAATCATATCATTTGGGACTGATGAACATTCTGCTTTTTCTACATACACAGAATTTCCAGCAACTCCAATGATACTTAAGAAAGGCTATCATTTAAAAGACAGTTCATTTACTCAGTCTGAGCAAGCCTGAGTTGATACTAATGTTGCTAGCGAATAATACAGCTTCACTTATCTTGAAGGCAGACATCCTCTTTTTATGATTCCTGCTAGGTGCATTTTTTACTCTGAATTTGACCCTTTCCTAGACAGAAGCTCTAGCTTCACACAAAGTGAATGGTCTCATTACAATATATTACTACAGAATTCTGGAATAAATTGGTTGGCTCAATCCAAAGCTCAAAAATATACATAAAAATCCAAAGGCAAGTTTAAGGAAATTCTATTAAAGAGATTCCTGTCAGATATCATGGACTCCAATTAACATGCATCACTTTTTCTTGGTGAATGGACGACTGCAATAGAAAGAACATGACAATGTACATTTGTAGCGTCTTCCTTAGGGTTTAGCCACCTTCTCTCCTTAGACTGTCAGTCAAAAATACGTCAGGATAAAGAGGAGATACTGAAACTCCTCTTAATGGAAATACTATTTATTGGAGAATATTTCTCTTACAGAGACACTCAAGGCAGATCATTTAACCTTCTTCCTATCATTGGTCACTTTGGCTATTGCCATCTTGCATTTAAGTACAATGGAACTTTTCTCCATTAAGGAACTTTTATTCTATCTGGAAAAGGGAATGCCATATATTTCTCACAAAACAATAACCACTGGGGACTTTGCTAGTACTTTCCCAGGTTTTCCAGACCTGCAGCAAAATACGAAAACAGATAACCACAGGAAAGTTATTTTGGAAATCAAGAATGATGGTATTTCATGGGAACAGGTGTTGGCCAGAAAAATATGAAGTAACAGTGCGATGACAACTACCTATGTCAATTTGAGCTGGAAAGATGTGTCTAGAAACAGGAAGGGAGCAACTCTTTGCCAGACACCTTTTGTGCATGGCTCCTCCCTACTGCTTAACACATTCTGCAGTACTACAGATACTCAAAAATTAGAACGAGCAGAAGTAGCAAAGCAACAGGAAAGCCCAACTTCTAGGAATTATAGCTTGGCTAAACAACTACTAACTCCGTGCACATATTTTTTTAAATATTTGATCTGCACAAACCATTAGAGAAAGAAAAACATTAAGTTTCATTTTAGAACAATAATGTGTTACTTTTCCACAATCCACAGTTTTAAAACATTTAATCTATGTTAAAAGAAAGACTTCAGCTCAAACATCAACTTTTGAGGTGAAAAGATGTTGCCCTTCACTACTCCCTCATAGGAATATTCCATTGTTCAGGGGAAGATAAATATTTTGTTATTTTTTCTTAAGTTACTACAATCACAATTGACCACACAGAGGATCTAAACAGCCCAGTCTTCCTCTCTACTTCTGGAGTTCAAATACATATCAAAGCTCCAACAGTAGAAATGCCTGATCTCTCCAGATAAATTAATGTACTTTTCTTCCTCCTCTTTCTTCCAAACTAAAAATAATACCAATGAAATCTAGGAAAACAAAACCAAAACATTAATTACTCCTAGATAGTAATTTCTAGTCTTTCACCATGAACAGCACCTGCTCTCCTTCCACCCGCTCCCATTGCATCAATGAGAACTCATGCCCTGGCAACAAAGAAGTCCCTCCCCCAGTGCATCCTTTTAGGTTTGTTCAGGATATAAACACAACTGCAATTACACAAACTAGGATGTCCTATCTGCCGCACTCCCCCAATGCCATGCATTTTTCTATCCTGTAGCAGTAAGCTGACTGCTTTCACAGTACAAGGCTATAATTTCTCATAATGGGTATTCTGATTTCAATTTTATTTTAAATTGTCACACAACCTTGTGACAATACTAAAAACATCCTTAGAAAGTAGTGTGAAACATCATGAAAGTATCAAAATTTGACAAAAGTTTCAGAGAAGGCAAAAAATGTGCACTTCTTTATACTAAGCATGAAATTATATAAGAGCTAGGTTGAAACACTGTTGGAAGACTAGTTAATTGCTGCATTCACTAAAATACTCAGTGAAGCTTATTCAAAATTAATAACATTGAGTCACAGACATGTATAATGTGTACAGTTCAAAGCTAGCTGCAGTTCTTTACTTCTGCTAGGAGGTATTTTAAAGCTGTATTTTTTATGTATAGGACAGCTTTCTCAATAAAATATAGCCATCAACTACAACCATACCTTTTCATAAGGTTTTGTATAAAACGACTAAGGCAAATGCAATGCAAATGAAAAAGCTTCCCAAAGTTATTTCCACTATAAGTAAAAAAAATTAACTTAATAGCATTAGCAGACATTAAAGTTTTCTACTAAAGGAGATCTATAAAACTACTCTGTCAATAAAAAAAATAATCTTAAACCCAACACTTATAGTTTGATATTTTAAATTATTAATACAGAGTCAGATTCCACTTAAGATATCCAGTTGATCTAAGAACACAACTGCTCAGGCAGAACTCCAAATACCATAGCATGGTGAGTATGCAGGAAGGAAAATGAGATAGAGCTTTAAGAGGATTCTTAAGAGGGATTAGGAATTTTTTCTCCTTGTTGTGTCATCAAATTATGTGATTTGCACTTCCACAGAAACTGAATAAGTGAAGAATCTGTTGATATAAAAGCTGTGTTACAAGACCGCACAACAGTAACACTGGATAGGCCATAACACTAGCCATGCTGGAGACTGAACCTCACTAAGTTTCTTTCTTTATAATCTTCAGAAGATATTTTTCCTTCCCTAAAGAAACCAAATATGAAGCCTACCATCAAGTACCAAATATGCTTGCAACTTCTTTTCATGGCGAAATCACTTCTTTTGGGGACAACTTTTACACAAAACACAAAAAGCTATTCAGTTATATTGTATTGCCTCCTCATAATATGGAGCAGACTTCGAACTAAGTTTCAGAAAGTCAATTTACTTCAAAAGACCTGGATAGAGAGAAAAAAGTGAAAACTATTTAAAAAATTGGAAAATTATGTTTTTAACTCATTTTATACAAGAAGTACAAACAGATATTGAAGTGATGACAGTTTTGAACTGTTTTCTACTGTAACTCCCAGAAGCAATTATTCCAAGTCACACTGGAAACTATGGATGTCAAAAATAATAATTTAAAAATCCTCAAAATACTAGACAAGACATGCTGATCAGAACATTACAGAATCACAGAATTGTGGTGGTTGGAAGGGACCTCAGAGATCATCGAGTCCAACCACAAAAAAAAACCAAACAAAAAACCAAAAAAAAACAACACACAAACAAAAAAAAACCCACACCACCCACCACCTAAACACACAACAACAACCAAACCAAAAAACCATCACCCACCCACTCAGCAACCCACGACAAACCAATAATCTTGGGCACTAGAGCATGCCCTGAAGAAACATGTCTACA